GCCTGCTGGTTTCTTCCTTAGATTGTTATTTTATGTACAGTGTCCTGAGACAATGTATGTTGCGACTTGGCGCTATATAAATAAACTGAACTTGAACTGAACTTGAACTCAAGAGATATGGTTTAATTAATGCTATTGTTATTTATAATTTATACTCAGTACTCCATCATGACAAATTTGCAGAAGTACTAAAAATACAAATCTTTAATTATTACATTTAAACCAGTAAAAGACGTTGGCAAGACGTTGAGAACTTCGGACTCACCACGCTGTAGTTTCCACTGCAAGAATCCTRCAGTTCAAAGGGGAGATGGCAGAACGGTCCATCTGAGTCGGTCACTTTTAAACAATTAGTACATGTGGTCCTGTGTGCCATTCTTCCATGGAAGATCTGAACAAACAAACCAACATAAACTTGTGAAGAAGTAAACAGAAACAAATGCTTTCTTGTAACAACAATAGTCTTTACCTTTGCTGCATCTGGACTTGTCATGTTTAAAATCTTCTCAAAGTATTCTGCTGCATCGCGCTGTTCAGACACTGAGATACGAAAAAATGACTTAATGTGTATTTCTTTAAAAAACAATTCATAATTATAGGAGGATGCTGGGACAGGGTGTGATGGAGACCCCAAAATGAAGAAAACAAAGGAGAAAGACACAAGGACTGAGTGTTCACATACTTGAGTCAATCTTAAGTGCTTCTATTATTTTATATGTGTATGTAGTCCCACGCAGTAAGTCATCAAACAAATGTTTAAGATCAGCATCAATAAACACCTCAGTGTCAGGATTGTTTTCTGTAAACCTGGACAAATGGAAATGAGATGAAGCTTACTTTAATACATAACAAACAACTAAACAACAACACAACAACCAACCTGCTGACTGCTTCTCTGAACTCTCTGGTCATGAACAGAACCTGCAGAACACTGTTCAGGTAGCAGGTTGCTCCATGGTTGTACAAGCCGTGGTGTTTAACTGTTGGTGCAGCTGCTGGGAGAGTTAGATAGTTAACATATCATTTGTTTTGTAAAGCACATGACTGCAGTGATGTGTTTCAGTTGCTGAATCATTTTTGTTTCAAAAATAAAGAGATTAAATTGTTTTTGATATGTCTCAGTATATAAAACCTTGCAATTCCAAAACAATATATAGGATTTCTTATTTTTTCTTATACCAGGTTTACACAGCTGTGTTTAAATTACCATGTCATACATGTACTACATGTCATTAATATGACACTGAACGCATATCAGGTCTAAACCAATCCTTCAAACTGGTTTAATACAAATATCATTAAACTCTAAAATGATGCAGACTTTTGGACTTGTAGTTATCACTTACCAGGAAATATCCTTCAAAAATTATATTGGTTCTTATCAAAGGTCACCTGAGATTTGATAACCACTTAATTTTAAGAATGGAAAATATATGGGGGTAAAATAACTAATTTGGTCTTTTAATTTGAAGGCAAAGTTTACAGAGATTACCTTCAAACATTTAATGCTCTGTYCCAAGGCAGAAATGCCAAGTTAAATAAAAATCTACAACAAAAGCAGTTTGATATTGTCTGATAATGGTTCTGAATTCACCACATATTCTTACCTTTAGAGCTGAACAACAGTTTGTACAAAGTATCCATGTTTATGTTTAGTGTCTTCTGTCCATCAGTCCATTCAAATCCCTCCTCCTCCTCCTCAATCTCTGTCAGTCAATTTAAATTGCTATTGTCAAGAGAAACTAAAGTAAAAGCTCAATAAATAATACAAACCTACATTTAGTTGTGAGGTTTAAACTTTAAAAGCATTCCTCAGTTGATTACAGGTTATTTAACGTACAGACGCTCTAGAGGCCGTTTTACTGTAACTTTACTGCGAGCTTAAATTTACTTTCTCTTCCTGTTGGGCGACTAAAATGCTGCGTTCAAAGAGCCTCGGAAAACGCGGTTTTTCAGACAGGCCTATGATTTCAATACGGGTCCAAATGTATCGGATTCCAGTCAAAATCTAAATATTAAAAACACAAATGCGAGTGTTTTTAAGCTAGGAAAATAATTAAAACTTATTGTGAGACTTGTGCACACGAGCTTTGTTTACACTTTTTGGCTAAATAAAAAGGACAAGCTTTCTGTATGTAGAAACAATAATTATTTTTAGCAAATTCCCATTAAACTACACACTACTGTTTAGTTTTTATGTGTTTATTTCTGTTGTAGCTGCTCTCCTGAACAGGTGGGTTAGAGAAGCATGAGTAAACCACTTGCTCCTAACTATTAAACTGAGCAAGTCTGTACTTCTATATTAGGGCATGTCCTATTTTAAACAGCTCTTGAAGAAAAATTTTTTTGTGTTTTGTTTATTTCTTATATGTATTTTACCTATCTTCCATTTACCATAATTATTCAAGCATTATACTATGTGTATTTTAGCTCTTGTGTATGTTTGGTGCCATTTCTAAATCTTATTCAAAATCGAGGTGATACAAAATCAACTTTTTTGAGCTTTATCAAAATTATACCTCGAGTGTTGCTTTGACTCATTCATAAATGTTTGAGAAATCCTCCACATGGTAGYCATGTGGAGTTGCCCAAACACTTGCTGGTACAAAGCTCCGCCTATTCACACAAAGCTCCTCCCTGGAGCTCAGTCTGCAGCCGAGCTCCCGCCCTCCTTCGAAGGTTTGTTGTGAAGATGTGGTGAAGTGGGAGTGTCGAAAATGGTAGGACATTCTTAAAGAGACAGAGACGAATTTCAAGGTGTTTAAGGCTGTGATGTGACGTCAAATTTATTTTTGACATATACAAGAATTTCACGTCAACCAAAAGTAACAAAGTTACTTGATTGTGGCAYGTATAGAATGGAACTATGTGTCTGGAAAATACATAATACCTATTTAAATAAAAAAAATTCATTTACCTCAATAAGTCAATAAGAGTTTACTTAAAGAATCAATAAAACACTATAGAWGACAATCAAAAATTGTTTTCTTTTATTCATACAATTTCTTTTTTATGGCTTGAAGCAATGCTACACATTAAAATATTTAATATACTGTATATATA